AACATGTAGATACTCAATGCTTTGTACACTGTACAATCGGTGTCTTTAGGAAGCCAACCCCTATATTATGTATGAAGTGAAAACCGTGTCAGCTAGCTACTAGCTATTTTTATTATCATTACATTGTATAAGGTTAGCTACCATATTAAGTAATCCTCTGCCCACAGTTGAGCATAAAAAAACCAGCAAACAAGTTAAATAACAAATTGGGAATTTAAAACCTGCAAATAGGATCATAAAAAAAAAGTAAAGAACAAGGCAGGAAATACTGTAGACATTATTTACTCAAACCACAAACCCCTATTTTAGCTCCATGCTGTTACCTAGAATTACATTTGGCGGAGTCAAAAAGAGATTTGTAGTTTGAGTAAATAATGTCTATAGTATCTCCTGTCTTGTTCTTTACTTTTTTATGATTCCTATTTGCAGATTTTTAAATTTCCATTTTTTTTATTTATCTTGTCTAACTGTATAAAGCTTCTGATACTTCACTGGTAGGAACTATATTATCATGGAAGAAAACTTGTGAAGAAGAATGTAACAATTTTAGTTATGAAATGTTTTGTGTCAAATTTTTCATCAGATGTTTTTGTTCAGTAATTTAGGTAACTAGAACAGCTATGACATGCTGAAAGGGGGAGCTTGTTTATGTGTATAGGAGTATTTGCAATACTCAAAGTGGATTGGTATGTGATTGTATAGCATAATGACACCTTTTTAAATCTTTCTTTTCTTTACTACCACTTCAACTTAATTCATTCAGTTTTTTATTTTAAAAAAATTTCCATTTTGAACTAACTTTTCTTCGTGTATTATTAATAACAAAAAAACAAGTTTCAACACTTACTCCACAGGTCAGCTTCTTGCTCCACTCTTCCACACATGCTGTTTTCCCTATCTCTCCTCTACCCTGACAATATTGCACTGATTTCCCATATTTCCACATTTTGTTTAGTATTTCTGTACATGTTATAAGTGCTGTTGATCAAAATAAAAAAGATACAAGCAATGATTTTATTTATACATTTGTCAAACCATAAGATGAATGGAAATAGGTTAGGTTGAATTTTTTTCATTCGAGTGAGCAATATTTCTGTACATACAATAATGTAAAAGAAATTTATTTCACAAGATTTAAAAATGTTACATAATAAAGATTTTTCTTTTCTTTTCCATAGGAAAAGTATTGATTATTGGTGGAGGTATTGCTAACTTTACTAATGTGGCTGCTACATTTAAGGTAAGTGATTTGCTTGTAAGATGCATTAAAGCAAAATATTAAAGAGAGATATGAATTACCCATCTTTTTTGCCACTAGGATGTATTTTCAAATCCTATTTTCCAAGTTTGACCAAAGAATGAATTGGTTGAAGAAAAAAAAAGTGGGTCATCATCAGTTATTAAACTTTTCACAATATGCTGGCTCCTTGTATTTTACCATTTATTAGTATTAAAAAGATTACACATTTTAAGCTGACATCAATTTTGTTACAAGAGCCTGAGTCTTTTAACACACTCGGATTATTCAAAGGAAATGAACATCTTCAAGAGTAACAATATATAACAGTTCATAAGAGAACCAATTATCAAAAACATGTGGTCATACATATACATAAAGAAGCATAAAATCTTTTTATAATTTTTTGTGTTTCACAAGCATTAATGATATCTTGTTCTGATTAAATAAATATATTAATTTTTTATACAGACTGTTATGTCAGAAATTTAAGCCCTGGTCAATAGTAAAAAAAAAAAAAGTGCAAAAACCATTTAATAACATGCAACCCTAATTATAATCATTGCCAAATTATAATTTCTATTTTTTATTGTTTTGTTTTTGGCTACATCTACTTCAGTCAGTGTAAAAGGTTCTTACTTACCTTTACAACCAAACATGGCTGGAGATTGCTTTCACCCCTGTATGTGTGTTTGTTTTCGTGTTTGTCAGCAAGATTTCTCAAAAACAGCTGAATATACTTAGAGAAAAGTTGGTTTGCATTTGTACAATGATCGAACTTGGAAGTGATTGGTTTTTGGAGGGTCAAAGTTCAATGTCATGAAAATCTAAATACCTATCTGTTAACATGAAGACTGATTTTTCACACTATTTTTGCTTTATAACTCAGTCGAAAATGATTGGATTTTGATAAACTTTGGATATATGTAGAATATTATTTCTCATTGTCCATGCCAAAAATGACCCATGTCCGTTGATAATGACAGATATATGGACACATCTTCGTATTTTTTGAGAGCTGAATATGATCAACACGTGCTTGAGGTATGCACTATACTGAGTGTTCTTCTAGTTGTTATTTTCTCAGAGCAAGTGTAGTCAAATCGTGATGAGATTTTATCACAGTCATTTGATATTTGATTAACCTAACTAGTAAGTGTTATCATTGCTGTGTGCAGGTAGTTTCTGTAGGTTGTTCAAAAATTAGAGGATTGGTTTTGTAATTAAACAAAACTTATCATAAACAGCTACTCTGAAGTATCAAAGGTTAATAAAATGAAGGTTTAGTTTTAATATTTCACATGTTTGATGGTTTTTTATTTTTTCATTTAAAAAATACTTAGTTGTTTTATGTTTTTATAATAGCCTAGATGGAGTGCTGAAATCTGAAATATCCATTGTAAAGGGTGTTCATAGGAACATAATGTGAAGCATTATATTTTACCAGCTTATTTCACTTGATAGTGGATGTTGTCTGTTATTTTTATTTTATTGTATTTTGTGCTGTCTCTGAGTGAGCTTCTTTGATTTATTATATTTTTCGAATGCATTACTTTCATACTTGCATTGGGAAAAGTTTATGTAGTCTACAGGGGTTTCTTAAAGTATTTATGTGACTTGTATAGAAAAATTTGGTATTTGAAGAAATCATAGCTAAAGTTTAAGTTATTAAAACTAGCAGAAATGCTGCCCAATGGGTGGCTATTTGTGTTACTAATTACTAATCATAGTATTCATACCTCATAAAAATAAAATTAGAAAAAGTGAACATTTTCTAAAAGAGGATTTTTCTTGGAAGTACTACATGGGTGAAAATTTTCGGCTTGGGCTCATATAAACTGTAATGTTTTATATATTAAAAGTGGTACACCCTTTTTTGAAAAAAGAACATTTTTTTTCTTTTAAACTCCATTTTTTAGTACTACATTTACAAATCACTTCAATAAGGATATAATCAAACCCTTACATACAGTCCTAGTGAAAGTCGTGTTCTCAGTGTGAGAGTAGTTCTTGTAATTAAAATTGTGATAAAGAAATGATTGTTGCACATACTGTAGTTATTTTTCTAATTGTCTGAATCTTGAATACCTAAAATGTGAATTTTTGTTTATGGATTTTTATTTGTGGTGCCATTCAGTAGATGGTACAGCATTGTATTTATTATTTTGGTCACATACCTTGATAGATACATATATACACACTATCGATATATAGTAAGATATTACACACATATTTGTTAAGTCTCCTCTTTTTTTTTCTTCTTGATACAAATCGATAGGGCATTGTAAAAGCCTTGCAGGAATTCCAACCCAAACTTGTGGAGCATAAGATTTCAATCTTTGTTCGAAGAGCAGGTCCAAACTATCAAGAAGGGTTACGGGTAATGAGAGAAGTGGGTATGTTTGTTTGCTTGTTTTTTTAATTATTTGCATGACATACACAGATAGTTTTTAGTATCATAATTTATTGCAACTAAAACTTAAAAAAAATATTTATAAAATGAAAAATTATCAAAAATGCAAATAAGCTTTTTTAAATCATTAATAAATGAACTCTCTGACCTGATTTAGCCATGTTGATTTTACCCTCTAAGTCTTCCCTATGTGTTGAATGGGAACATCAGCTAATGTTTATCTAAACCAAGAATAAACTATAACCTCTGTTGTGGGTGTGCTAGAATTTGGTAATTTATTAAGATACTTTCTTTAGGAAGCACATTGGGTGTACCAATCCATGTATTTGGCCCAGAAACACACATGACAGCCATAGTGGCTATGGCCATGAAAAAGAGAGATATCCCAGACCTTCAAGAAACCAGCCATACAACAGCCAACTTTCTTCTTCCTGATGGAATGCAGAAAGTATGTATGTTTTTGATGTTCACCAAGAATTTTATTTTTTTCCATTATGCTCATGTGTCGTCCTGTTTAACTATTGTGTCAGAGGTGCAATGTGTCAATTGTTAAGTTGAGGTATCCTTAGTTTAATAGCCAATGTTTAATTTAAATACCCTGAGAGAATGATAACTTTGGATTATAGAGTTTGTAGATGCAAAACATATACCACGCAATGAAGAACAACGGTACTAGGGTTGAGACTTATTAGATTATTATATTTCTTTATCAATATCAAATCTCTTTTTAAGAAGAAAAGTGTTTTTTATTGTCCTTGTAACTCAAATACAGGTGAACTTAACATAGGATATGTACTTCTTTTTATATTTTTTTTAATTTTATTTACAAATTGTACAATATATAAATATGGAAAATAAATTTTTAAAACTTCAGCTCTTCTCAGGCAATTGAAAAGAAATCCTTTGCTGATATTTTTCATTTCTTCAGCAAAGCTTCCTCAGTTTTGTAGAAGTTGGTTCAAATATAATGGGCCCGGCATGGCCAGGTGGTTAGGGTGCTCGACTCGCTATCTGAAGTTCCGGGTCTGATTCCCCGACACACCAAACATGCTCGCCCTTTCAGCCATGGGGGCGTTATAATGAGATGGTCAATCTCACTATTCATTGGTAAAAGAGTAGCCCAAGAGTTGGCGGTGGGTGGTGATAACCAGCTGCCTTCCCTCTAGTCTTACACTGCTAAATTAAGGACGGCTAGCACAGATAGCCCTCGAATAGCTTTGCGTGAAATTCAAAACAAACAAACAAATCAAATATAATGAAAATGTGCCAGGCTGACTTTGCTTCTAGACGATTATGAATATGCCATCCAGGTATCTTCATTAATATCAAAGATTTTGAGTTTGTTTTTTTGCAATCATTTTCCCTGAAAAAAATTAATTTATTTTTTTCTAAACAGTACAGATCCTATGTTATGAAGCCAATAACAAGTGGTTTTGTTTTTTTAAAGAATATTAACAATTAATGTTTATCACTATACCCATATTTGATCTGCATTGAAAACAAAATCCCTTATTTAATACCTTTAGAAGATTTTGTGCTAAATTTTATTGAAATGGTTGTGGGTTGCTGCTGACTATGTACTTACCTGGAAGTCTTGTTGCAATTTTTGCTTCTAAAAGTGGATGTTGATGTTAGAATCCTTCTTAATATTTATATGAAATCACAAATAATGAGTCAAAAATATTTTGGACTTAATTTTAACATGCTTATTGTTTTTGGAACTGTTATCTTTAGAAATTTCCTCCTTTACATTTAATATTTAAATGTATTTCATATTTTATTACACCAGAAATATTCAATGTAGTGTTTCAGAGATTTCTTTACTGTTTTTTATTTTTAGGTAAAAGTAAGCTTGATGTTTATACACAATGAATGTTTTTTATAAAATAGGCAACAGCTATTTTTTGTATAGTGTTATAATTATAGTGAACTAATTTCCGTTTTTGAATTTTGTATATTATTATCCAAGCAGAAAAGTTTCCAAGATCCTTTATTAAGTAAAAAATAATTTCAGTCAAACACCTCCCCAAAACAAACATCTGTCAACAGTTCTGATGAGAAAAACAGATTAGTGTCACCAGGAGATGATTCTTCCATTGCTGAAAGCTTGGTGAAACCCTTATTTTCCATGGTATGAATTTCAAACTAGATATTAGATATCCTAATAAATTTTGTGGAAATATATTAATTAGGTTTTAATTTTAATTTGTGTTGTTTACAGTACTTGTTATGCCAAAATGTCTAGAAGTAATGATCATAAAACATAAAAGAGAAGATGTTCATTCTAAGTTGTATTATTTTTGGTGTACCAACCTTGGTAGATTTTTGTTATATATTTTGTGTTGTGTTTTTATTTGTATTTAATCATGCTCTGGTAATGTTTATTGTGTATCAAAAGCATAGAATACAGATGTCTGAGTGTGTTATATTAAAACTACTTTGAATATACAATCTGTCATACAACCACAGCTGATGTGATGATGTATCTGAATTATATTTTGACATTGGTGTTTTGTATGTAGTATGGTGCCTCCAAAAAGTGACTGCATTTGAAAAGATATGATAGCCCTTTCTGACACAAAATATTCATACACACAAATCTTGTTTAGATCAGAGGATGAGAATTTCTGAGATGGAGATATCTCTTGTACTTAATGGCATTGAATAAATAAGAGAATATAGATCAACTTGGGGCATCAGGAACACCTAAACAGAGACCTGCAACAAGTCATGGGTAGAAAAGTGTGGTGTTTTGTAACAAGTGATAATCAATGGACACAAAGGCAAAAAGTCTTCCACATACACATGCAACATAATTAAGAAGAATCTTCATCTGGAAATGAGCCCAATAGGGTATGAGCTCACCATGATGAGGCTTCCTGTCATACCTACAATTCAATCATCTCATACTTCAAATAACTGGAGAATGAAACGGGTATTTATGCTATTCCATACAAAGACATGTTAGTCAAGTTGCTTTTGAAACGGGTTCTGTGAAACCTCATGCACCAGATAGATCATGAAAAAATAGCAGAGAGGAGTGGTGTGCTTTGGACTTAACAGCCTTACGATGGAGTCTTTTGTAGTGGAAACTACATTGCTAAGATAGATGGTCATCTGATAGAACATAACCAGATGTGGCAACACAGACTGTACAATGTTGAGATGCCCAAAATAGTTTTAGTATTAAGTACTCAACCTCTGTATGCTGTTATATCTCAATAATCATAAATTTAAAACTAAGCAAAAATGAGAAAGTGTGCTAAACATTTTGCATTATAATACATTTTTGTGATCTATGAGGATCTGTTGAATTCTGAATGTTCATGGTGACTGCTATTCTGAAATCTAGGTTCATGATTGGTCTGCTTAAGCAACTCATTGGGATTGATATAAATATTTTGTACCCTGGTGATTTCATCATTGATTTAAGTGTTATAAAACTCATATCCTGATTCATGGTTTTATTGGAAATTTTTGTCAATACAACTTGTTTCATGAAATTAGTTTATTATGAATTAGTCCATTTCCATATTAGAATGTGACAAATATTTTCAAAACGAGACCCAAAACTCAAGTACTTTCGATTAATTGACTATTCTTTTTTCAAGAGAATAAAGGGTTATGTTTAATGAGTGTGATGAAATATATAGGCACGGATGTCGATGTCACGTAAACAAGATGTTGAATCTAAGTTGGCCTTGAGAACTAGCCAACCATAACCTAGAGTTATTTGTGTCAGGTTTAGTTTTGTGCCAAAGGGGTGTGTAAAGTTTCATAAAAGACTTATGTGGGATAATAGTTATAAGAATTGTTTACTAATTTCTATAAAGACAAAATAAAATAAACAATAAAATTAAGATTAAATAACTGCAAAAGGCGGTGGGAAATAGAGAAAATAATAAGGCATCTCAATATATAGGATATCAAACCAATATATAGAGAGAAATTTAAGGAAGAATAATACTAATAATGTAAAGTAAATTTAATCACGAATTTAGTTTTGAAAATTTTTTCAGAGACTTGCGAAGGTCAACAACCCCGGGATCGAGATTGATACCACTTGGTGTTACAGTATTTAACAGTGCTATCCAATAAGCTTCTTTAATTTTTCTGTTTTTGTTAGATGTAAAATTTGTCCCTATACCCATCAGTTTAATGTCTTCAAGAGA